CAGAAATAGCAATAAAAAAAAAAGCTATTTAATTAAATATTTATCTATACGATTTGTGAGAATATATTAATATATTATTATAATATATATAAATTAGTAATAATACAAATAAAAATGTTTAATAATATTATACAATAAATCGTTCCCAGAAATAGCAATAAAAAAAAAAGCTATTATAACAGAACAAAGTTCTAATAAAATGAGGAAAAAGAAGATATTAATATTGATAAACATTTAAGATGTATATTTAATGTATTTTATATAAATAAAATAGAAAATTCTTGAGATACATATATGCTGAGATTGAAAAATAAAATATAATAAGATATAAATTTACCTAAAAAATTCGAACTGAAACGTAATTCGGAAATGTTGAGAGACATGGCACCCTTTGGAATCGTTGTTATTGAATAATGGCCCTTTGGTAGGATCGGTTCCATAAAAATACCTTCGAATGATCTGCAACCCTGTCCTCGTCCTCCACAAACACCACATGCATCCATTGTTGCACCTGAACCTATTACACCATCGCAACCTACGGGCTAATATTAAACAAACAAACAAACAAACAAATATCTCATCTAAATTAATGTATATAAATATCTATTAATAAATAAAAATTATCACATCAAAAAAAAAAAAAAGAAAAGAACAAAAAAATTTCAACAAAAGTAATACTCGCACAACCTACGGGCTAATATTAAACAAACAAACAAATATCTCATCTAAATTAATGTATATAAATATATATTAAATAAATTATCATAAAAAAAATATACGCAATAAAAAAATACGACAATATTAATTTCAACAAATTTGTATTTGAAAATATTGTTCAAACGATTTGTATTAGAAGATCAATTATTATTATCAAAATTGTACTTTTTCTTACGATAATAAAAATAATTGTTTCGTCGATGATAATATAAAAAAACATTGAAATAATATCTTTGTAATAAAGAATTTTCAACAACACATTGATAATATTAAAATTGACAATAAATGTAATACCTATGAATACTTTTTGCGAATCACCATATATATATATATTTCTATGCACATATAGAATCAATATAAACGGATGTATTATAGATAGTGAATATGGGTTATCGTGTAGGTGCTTACCTTGCATTGTCCAGCTACACAAAGCCAACGTTCCGTACGTTCCATAGAAATTCCGGTATTATGTCCACGAAGATTTGGACCGTCGCAGGGTGTGCCATCGATTACTGATGGTTCAAGCGTTGCATAAAAACGTTGACCAACTGCACGGCAATTGAGTGCACACGAGTTTGGTGCTATGTAATAAAAAGGAACATATGATAATTGCAATTTTTATTTTTGTTATCCCAACCCCATTTTTAAACATAATCGGAATTTATTTTTCCCAATTTAATCTATGGCTATATACTTATTATTATTATCTCTTATTTCGTTATGTTTTCATTATTGTTTTTTTTTTAAATATTTAATTATTTATATTATAAAGTGTGTAAAATGAATTTTAGTACCATCCAAAAATGGGATCCAAGTGTAAACGTGTCCCTTGTAATTTTTTTCATTGTATTTGGCGCACTGTTCCGTTCGCAAGTCATCGGCAAAATTCGGACAATCCTATAGGATAAACGATAGAAAAAAAATAATATTTTAATATTTACATATATTATTTTCTTAATGTAATATTTAAATTCGAATTTGTCTTTTCAACTTGCCACTCAATTAATAGATTAAAAACTTGTTCTTTTACTATTCCTTAAGAAGAAAAAAAAAAAGTGCAAGGTGGGCAGTACAAGGTACAACAATATTTTATATCTTAAAAGAAATTATACTAAATCACTTAAATTATACTAGTGAGAAGAGACTAAAAGCAAAAACAATTTGTAGATATGAATCATTGATGGACCATTATGATTCTATTTAATAAAACACAATTGATTGTTATGGGGTGATCCAAGGTGGCAGTCAACGTGTTAACGATTTACGAAATTGATTTCAAATGTGTGTCTGTTTTATTATTATTATTATTATTATTCTATTCTATCGAGTAAGAAGAAGAAGAAGAATAGAAAAGGAAATAAATATAAAGAAAAAGATAAAGAATGAAAGTGTGAGATGAAGGGGGTAAAAAAAAAGGAATAAAAGGGCCTATATCGTACTTATGAATTTTAAAGGGACGTCGCGACAGGACGTACGTAAATCTCAGCGTACCGTACGGTCCCTTAATTGGCCATCGTGATGATTTGTTCTCAACACGTGACTTGTTTCCCATCCCTTTTGTAAGGAAAACTTTCATCGTGGATTTCAAACTTTTCCTTTCTATGGGAGATGCATTTGTCTTCTTACGCGTGTGTATGTATATATATATACGTGTGTGTGTGTATGGTAATAGTAGATATAAATTATAATAAGTATATACCTGTGTATTACACGTGTGATATCTTTTGTATATACCGATGCAGATGGGCCTTATATTTTGTGTCGTATCATTTTCCGTGATCGGGCTTCGTTTTCTTAAATCTCTCCTGTAAATTATTATCCATAATTATTATTATATTGTTATTTTTGTTTTTTCTTTTTCAATTATGGATATCAATGTTTTTAAGTGAAACAGTATCTTAAAATTTAAATATTAAATATATAAATGAAAATTATGTG